CTCCTCCTCCTCCTTCCTCCTCCTCCTCCTCCCCCCCTCCCCCTCCCCTCCTCCTCCTCTACATTCTGCTCCTGCTCCGTCGTTTCACGTATCCTGCGTTCTCTTTTCTCATTAGGGAAGATGGCGGTTGGGAATCGCTCCTTTTCGTTCTCTTCCTCCTCTCCTCCTCCTCCTCCTCCTCCTCCTCCTCCTCCTCCTCCTCCTCTGCCTCCTCGTTCCCCCCTTTCCCCCTACCCCCCCATACCCCCTTTCCTCCTCGTCCTCCTCCCCCTCCTACCCCCCCCCCATACCCGAAGGAGCCGCGCCTGCCGGCGCACACGCCGCGCCTCCGACGTCGCACGGGGGCCCGGGCCCGCACGGAGGCCAAGAGACGAACGCCCCCCCCCACGCTCGGGGGTGCGCTGCCCGCAGGAGTCCCTCGCATCCTTCGGGCGCGGCCAAGAGGGAGTGGATATCATGGCAGGGGCCATGATCTCTCCCCAGATTTCATGGTGCACTGTCTCATTTCAAGATGTCCCCAGCGCCCCCCTAGGCCGCGAACGTGTCGCCAGCCTTCTTGACTGCCCCCCTCTTGGACGCCCGAATCATGGAGAGGGAGAGGGTGATGTGGATGTGCAGGGTGAGGCTGCTGTTCCTCCTCCTCCTCCTCCTCCTCCTCCTCCTCCTCCTCCTCCTGCTGAACTGCCGAAATTGGGTCTAAAGATCCCGCGGGCGTAACCTCATCCTCCTCCTCATCCTGCTCATCCTCCTCCTCCTCTTTCTCCTCCTCCTGCTCTAGATCTCCCGCAGGGGCGCGGAGACAGTTGATTCATGCATCGCGGCAAGGGCCGCCTTCCTCACTCAGCATCGTCAGACCTACGGTCAGCACGGGATCACACGAGGCATTCCAGAAAGGGCTTCGCTCTCGAGGATCGAAGGAGCTGGTGCTTCTTCCTCGGCGGCACGCGGCGGAAGTAAAGCGAGGCCACCTCCGCCGGCGGAATCTCGGCGGAAGCTTGGCGGAAGTACAAATCGGCCTCCCAAGAGATGGCGAGGTGTTTTAGTTCAGGGTTGCTTGAACGCGCCACATGGATGGATAAGTTTCCAAGGGATGTCCCTGCATAATTACTTGGAACAAGAAAAAGCAGCATGGGCATGAACATGTGGCGCTCCGCGCGGGTTTTTGGGGTCTGCGTTGGGACCCCCTGGCGGCGCCTCCGGCGCCGCCCCTGGCGCGCTCCGCGCGCCAGGGAGTGGGTCCAGCGACGATCTAAGAAATTTGCGCGGAATTCCACATGTTTCAGGTGATGCATGTTTGCTCCCTCGGATGGTTGCAGTCCCATCCTTGCCCAGCCCTCAGCCTTGAGCCATGGGCATGGGCCGTGGGTGTCCGGCTTCGGCCTCCATTTGGGCGTCCAAGGGCCCTGTGTCCTTACCGCGCATCCTTCTGATCCAGTCGTATTGTGCCCTCATCCCAGGTGGGCCAGGGCCGTTTCCTTAGGGGGCCACCAGCCACCGAGACAGCGGCGGCTTTTACCTAGCGTTGTTCCTTCCTTCTGCTTGTTTTTTTTGCCGCCACGTCGGGATCCGCTTCGAAAAAATGCTCAGGATGGACCCCAGGAGGGGTCCGGGGGACAGATGAGGCGTTCCAGAAAGGGTCTCGCCTTCGAGGATCGAAGGAATTGGCATCTCTTCCTTGGCGGAAAGCGGCGGGAGCAAAACGGGAGAGGCTGCGATGGTGGAAGCCGGCGGAAGTAAGACATGCGCCCCGAAGAGATGGCAAAGTTGTTTGGTGCAGGGATTCGGGAACTCGACAGATGCTGATCGGATTTGGGCCCAGCGGGAGAGCCGCCGTGGTCGGAGCTAGCTCTCCCCAGACGCCACCTGGAGGTGGGGGCGGGCGCCGCGAAGCCCGATGCAGAGGGCAGCTATCCCTACCTGAGGGGGGCGGGTCGGCCGGAGGTGCCAAGGCTTCCCCAGCGGGGAAGGGGAAGGTCCAGCGATGCTCTGTCCATCCTGTGTCTCTCTCTCTCTCTCTCTTGCTCTCCCTCTCTCTTCTTCCTTCTCCCGTTCGCTTAAAATTCTGCTCCACCGTCACCCACTGTCAGTCAGAGCGGTGCCCCAGCGCCCACCTGCAGTGCCCCCGCGGCACCTCGACTGCAGGCTAATGTCCGATGTCCGATGTTCAGCGAGGGCGCTGGTCGAAGAACGAACAAGACGACAAAAACGTAAAAGCTCGGAGCGCCGTGCGGATTTCTTCGGTTGGCGCTGTGCCCCCCTCCTCGCCACCCCTGGCGGTCCCTCGGGCGCCGCTCGCGGCGCGCTCCGCGCGCCAGGGGGCCCACTAAGTCTGCAGGGGCCTCCGAGTGTTCATGCTTACGGTCGGACCGAGGTTTAAGATCGAGGTCGGATCGGGGAGGGTACCTTAATGTTCTTCGTGTTTGTTGGGCGTTCTTGTGCATCGGGGGGGGGGGAGGGCACCCTCGAATGTTCTTCAGTTTGGGCCAGCGGAGGGTCTCATGTTCTTTAAAGATGTTATGTTGTCCTAGGTCGACCATCTACGTCGTGTGTGTTGCTTCCAATATTGTGAAGACCTTTCGGTCGGTGCCGCCGACCCTGAAGGCGGGACCTTCCCTGGGGCCGCCGCTGGCGACCCCCTCCCAGGACCCCCGGGGACCCCGGGGCGGCGGCATTCTGACTTGGGAACCAACCCTTTCCCCCCCCCCCTTTCCCCCTCCAACCGTTGGGACTGTTGCTGTTGACGACGACGACGACAGCGTCTTCCACACGCCGAAGATCGGCGGATCTCGTGCTTTTTGCCTCCAATATCTTCATCCCTCCTCCGAATCCCCCTTCGCTCCTCCTCCTCCTCCTCCTCCTCTTCCTCCTCCTCCTCGCCCTGCCGTGAGGGGGCCACGCGCACGGCGGGCCTTCGGGCCCCGGTCCTCGGAAGACGCCTCCGCCTCTTGGACACCTCATGGCAAGAGGCGCCCCATGGAAAGACGAGCGCCTTGTCCTCAAACCAAACGGGTCTTCCCAAACCAAATTTGGGCTTGGGTGACCCAGGTTTTGATTTGGGAAGACCCCGTTAGGTTTGGGAAGACCCGGTTGGTTTGTTTTTGGAAGACTCGGGTTGTGCGGTTTGGGAAGGCCCGGTTGGTTCGGGAAAGCCCGGATGTTTGTTTGGGAAGACCCGGTTGGTTTGGGAAGATCCGGAGAGTTGGTTTGGGAAGACCCGGTTGGTTTGGGAAGACTTGGGGGCGTTGGTTTGGGAAGACCCGTTTGGTTTGGGAAGACCCGGGTTTGGTTTGGGAAGACTCGGCGGTCTGATTCAGCAACATTTGGTTTGGGAAGACCCGTTTGGTTTGGGAAAACCTTGGTCCCGCCTTGTGGGCCTTCCACTCAGACGAGAGCACCGCTTTGAAAAGCAACGAGAAAATAATGAATGCGAGTAGGTATCATTACTTCGTTCATGCTAGCGGGTTTTATTCAACGCGGTGTCCAACGAGAGACCTTCCTTTTTATAACAAAGGAACCACCCTCCGTCCGAGTAACTCTTGCACAATATGACCTCTCTTGTCATGAAAGTTGGGGAAGTCTGTAGCGAGAGCCCCATTTTGAAGGGAATCGCAAGCCATCCGTGCAGCTGCTACTTAATTTCATGCTTCTGGTCGTTAGATTTGAAGTCTCAAGCCAAAGCCACCCTGTAAACAACCTATGCCCTCCATCCTGGAGGCTGTTGCAAGCTTTTTGGGCGAATGTGTGCAGCGCGATGGCGAAAGCACTACATTGACCATTAATGTCCCGCCGTCATTTTAACCCCTGTGCCAGCTTTTAGCACGAACGTGCGCGGCGCTATTGCGACAGCCTCATGTTGAAGAACTACCGCCGTCCATGATGGTCTAGCAGTTTTTGAAGACGAACGCGCGCGGCGCCGAAGCGAAAGCCTTATTGTGAAGAGGACCCGCCTCCATGCGTGCAGATGTTGCATACTTCAAGCTTCAGGCGAGCGAATGGTGAGGAAGTGTCAGGCGAACCGCCGGGCCCAACGACACGACATGGACCCTCTGTGGGAAAAGCTCAATCAATAGGAGAAGGAGAAGGAGGAATAATAAGAAAAGGAGGAGGAAGGAGAAGGAGAGAAGGAGGATGAAGAAGACGAAGAGGAAGAAGAGGAGGAGGAGGAGGAAGAAGCTCACTCAAGCGGAGGAGGAAGAAGAAGAGGAGGAGGAGGAGGTGGAAGAATAATAAGAATAACAAGTGGGGGAGGCCTTAGGCAACTGCGATAACCGAGGAAGGAGCTGCAGAATGCAGGGCCCGCGTCATCAAGGGAAGAGTTTGCTGTGAGTCGTCCTGCGATCTCTCCAGATTACACGATGCAGGCGGTGTCGGAAAACAACGCGCAAGTCATCACGACCTGAGCCTAAGGTAGATTTGGGATGGGCCATCTCATGTTCTTTGTGTTGGGGCTCTCCACCTTAGAATGCTCTTCGCTTTGGGCGTCTCCATGGGCCCTTGGGCCTTCAGTAAAGGGGCTCGTGTTCTTGAACTGCGACTTTGGTGACCGCGCTTTGACTGTACACAGAAAGGCGATTAGGGATCATTCCTCCCACTCCTCCTCATCTGCCTCCTCGTTCCTCCCTCATCTCTTCCTGCTTTCCTCTTAATTACAAAGGAGGGCGGCTTGGGATCGCTCCCCCTCATCCATCTCCTCCTCCTCCTCCTCCTCCTCCTCCTCCTCCTCCTCCTCCTCTACCTTCTGCTCCTGCTCCGCCGTTTCACGTATCCTGCGTTCTCTGTTTTCTTAAGGGAGGATGGCGGTTGGGAATCGCTCCGTTTCCTTCTCTTCCTCCTCCTCCTCCTCTGCCTCCTCGTTCCTCCTTCCTCCCTTCCCTCTCCCTCGCCTTGCCTCCCTCCCTCCCTCCCTCCCCCCTCTCCTCCTCCTCCTCCTCCTCCTCCTCCTCCTCCTCCTCCTCCTCCTCCTCCTCCTCCTCCTCATCCTCCTTTTTCTCCTCCTCCATAGCCGTTTTGGCAACCGCATCTTTTGGCGTAAGGCTCACCCCTGACCCGCAGCGCCGCGTCGAGGGTCGTCCTCGAACCCGCCAGGAGACCATGAAAGGCTTGACGCAGCCGCTGCTGAAGAAGCCTGCCCCCAGGGGTTCGGAGGACGAGCAGTTGCTCAAGAAGTTCCCCGATGGCGACAAGGAGAAGGGGGCCACCATCCTCACCACGTGCATCAACCTCCTGAAGAACATGGTCGTCAGGGGGGCGACAAGGGGTGCTCTCAAAAGATGCGGCCTGCAACTCTACAGCCAACGGTGTCGCTGAGAGCTCAGTAGCTTCTCTCTAGTTCGATACTTTACCATTTGCGGAAGCATGATGTTAACTTAGATTGTTGATTTTTCAAGTTGCTCCGACCGAGCTCAGATTCAGATGGTGGCGAACGGTCCGGTGTCAAGGGAGGAAAAACATCTTGACACCCCCAGGATTGGCGTTTATTAAACAGTCCTGGGCGTTTACTACGCAGTCGCCGATGCTCAAGGAGGAGGTGGTGGAATAGGATATGGAAGGGTAGGTCGATGAGGAGGCAAAGAGAAGAGGAGGAGGAGGTGGAAGAGGAGGAGGAGGAGGAGGAGGAAGAGGAGGAGAAGGAGGAGGAGGATCAGAAAAAAAAGAGGAGGAGGAGGGGAGGAGGAGCAGAGAGAGAGGAGGGAGGAGAGGAGAGGAGGAGGAGGGGAGGAGGAGGAGGAGGAGGAGGAGGAGGAGGAGGAGCAAGAGAGGAGAGAGGAGGAGGAGGAGGAGGAGGAGGAGGAGGAGGAGGAGGAGGGGAGGAGCAGGAGGCGAGAGGAGGAGGAGGAGCAGGAGGAGGAAGAGGAGGAGGAGTTGGAGGAGGAGCAGGAGTAGGAGGGTGGAGGAGTAGGAGGAGGAGCAGGAGGAGTTGGAGGAGGATTGATTGCCTACCGACTGATCCTGTCCTGATCCGGGTGATCTGGCTCGGGCGCCCACTCGCCGCCTCGAGAGCGCGCGGCCTCGGGTCGAGGTCGATGCCCCCCCTCCAGCTCCTGCTTCTCCCTCCTTTTTCCTCCTCCTCCTTTTCCGTCTCCTCCTCCTCCTTCCTCCCTTCCTCCCTCCCCCCCTCACTCCCCTCCTCCTCCGCTCCTCCTCTTCTCGTGCTCCTCCTCCTCCTGCTCCTCCTCCTCCTCCACCTCCATTCCTTTTCCTTGTTATTAATTTCTCCCTGTCGCACCCGGAGGCCAGTTTTTGGGTGGTCCGGGCGTTTTGCCTGAAACTTGTCAGATTGGCAACATTTGCCAAGTTTAATCATTGGCAACAGTTTCACAGATGGAGGGCGGGTGATTCAAAATGTGGCTCTCGCCTTAGCGCCGCGCACATTCGTTTTAACAATGTGAAAGAGCTTCACGGATTGAGGGCAGATCGTTTTCAAAATGTGGCTCTCGCCTTAGCGCCGCGCGCATTCGGCTTCACGTTTTGAGGGCGGTTCTTTTTCAAATTGTGGCTCTCGCCTTAGCGCCGCGCACATTCGTTCAAACAACATGAAAGAGTTTCACGGATTTTCATGATCAGCGTATCAGAAAATTTGCTGTGGAAGGGTTCAGGATTACAAGGTTGCAGCAGTTACGTTGCTTCGCGGTGTTGACGTCCCAGGAATGGAGCTCTGGCACGGGTTAAGATCGTCAAGACGCAGCAGTCAGGTTGACCCGTGGCGTTGAAATCCCGACAACAATGCTTTGGCATGCTTCAGGTTCTTCAAACGGTTGTCTTCCAACGAAGCAGTTCCCTGTGGAAATGAACCGTTGTAGGGGCCTTGGAGGAGGGAGCTTGGAGGGAGGGTTCACTCCAACATCATTGATGGCTCTTGGGTTTTCACTGGTCCTCCTCCTCCTCCTCTCCTCCTCTTCCTTCTCCTCCTCCTCCTCCTCCTCCTCCTCCTCCTCCTCCCCTCCCTCCTCCTCCCTCCTTGTCGTCGTCGTCGTCCTTCTCCTCCTTCTCGTCCTGTTTCTCCTCCTCCTTCCTCCTCCCTGCAGCAACTCTTGGCTTGAGGTCACACGGCCCCCCGGGGGCCAGGGTAGTCTTGGGGTTCCGACTACCGTGCCTCACATCCAGAATCCGCGGGCGTCCCCAACGCGCTTGAGGGGCGTTGTTCTTTCTCGGTGCCAGGCCCGAACGAACACTGACTAACACGTGGGATGACAAAATTGTGGACCAGATGTTCAGTGTGCCAGCGTTGTAAGTGGAATGAGAAGCTGCTGTCGGGAGGCTCCCTGTGCCCGAACTGCCGCACTAAGTTGACGCTGTACACACCTGGCCGCAAAATTCGAATCAGTCGTGATCGCGGGGGGAAGTTCCATAATGCAATTCGTGAAAACGATGAAAAGCCCCAGCCGCATTCCCCAGGAATTCTCCGTGGAGGCAACAGCCGAAGCGCCTCCCCAGCTGGGCGTGGCAGCAACAGCGGCGGCAAGGGCAGGCAGAGCGGGAGTGACGTACAGGCCAGGAAGACACTGCAGCAGGCGGCGGAACTGGCGAACGACCCCGCCTTGAAGCGCATGCTCAGCACCACTGCCACCTAGGAAGGACAGCTGGTTCCCGTCGCCCCTTCGCCCGTGAACGTCGCGCTCGTCGACGCGCTCAAGAAGGCGGAGGGGGCGGCTGAGCATGCAGAACACATGCGCGACCAAGCAGTGGCAAATGTGGTCAGACTCCGCAGCAGCTTGGCGGCTGTGGAGGAGAAGGAACGCCACCGAGTTAGCAGAGGCGCTGAGGGCCAAGAGGGCGGCGGCAGCAGCATGTGCCAAGGCCGAGGGCATCGCGCCCACAGGCACGGGCGACGCCACCACCAGGCCCAACAGGCTCTTCGCCATCGAGTGGGGCGAGAAGTTCTTCCAGGAGGTGGACGCCCTGGAATGCGAACCTGCCGAGAAGGAGGCGCTCACCAAGCTCCAGACGCAGCTGGAGGAGGCGCGCTCAACCTTCCAGGGGCGCGAGGAGGATATCAAACGTTGGTTCAAGCAGGCCGACGACTACAACCGTAGCATCACGGAGCGCATGGCCATGATGCGGCGGGCCGCTGACACGAGTGCCCAGCCGCCCACGGCGACGCCCCAGCAGTGGAGGTTTCCAACGTAGCAGCCGAGGCACAGGGCGCTGTGCAGCAGCCTGCTGGCGCGGCGCCTGCTGAGCCCACCGCAGCCGAAAAGGAGCTGGAGGAGGCCGCCGTCGCGCAGGGGGCCAAGCTGCTCCCGGAGGCGAAGTTCAAGGCGAAGAACGAGAGCCACGAAGGCGTAGGGCAAGGGCGCGGCCGCAGGAGCGGCCGCTGCCAATCCTACAGCATGACGGTCGACCACGGGGACCCCCCGGACCCGCAATGCTGGGGGCGCAGGCTGGCGATGGGGAGTGCACGTCGTTGTTCTATGCCAGCGTCGCCAGTCTGAATGCCAAGGCGTGGAAGTATGTGTCGCAGCACGCGCGCCGTCGCGATCGCTGGGCCACGGTGGAGACTCACGTCCACATGGGGTCTCAGATCATGAAGTGGGACAAGACACCATGCGCGCTTATCGCATGGCTATGAATTCGGCTCACCGTTCCGCCAAGACCGCGCCCGATCGATGAGAAAGAGGCCGGTTTCAACGAGGGTGGCGAGATGTATTTCTCTAGATTCGACAATTACCTGAAGCGCGGGCGGCAGCTAGACTCTATCGGGCCCTTGGCCATTCGGCGTGCGACGGCTTCTGCCCGACGGCCTTGCAGCAGCGCAGCTACGCCGTAGTCCTGGTGGCCCTGTGCGGTCGCCCCGTCCATCGAGATGACTGCAGGAATCTGGGTCGTTTCTCAAAATTGGGCGGCCTGTTGCGCCCCCTACGCGCCCCGTGGCTTGTCGCGGGCGACTACGACATGACGCCAGAGCAGCTGCGCCACGTGCCCTTCTACAAGTAGACAGGCGGGGCCATCCGCCAGCTGCCTGGAGTCGAGGGCACTTGCGCACAGAAACGGCCATGAGACAATGATCGGTTATCTTCTCCTGAGTCCCAGTGCAATTCCACGTGGGCAGAGTGTCTCAGTGGTTCGCAGTGTTCCTGTTCCCTGGAAGCCTCGCGTAGGTTCGTCCATTTCTTTGAGGGCCTCGGGCAAGCTTTAGAGGGCTCGGGAACTCTTCCTTCCAGCCGGGCACCCGCAGGTCCCGAGACCCAAGTGCGAGCCCTCGCCTGGCTCCAAATCCAGCCTGGCCAGGTCTAGGCGGGTTGCCCAAAGCCAGGCCCCCTCGCCCCGCAGGATCGAAGGTTTCCAGGAAGTTTTCGACGATCTCTGCGAGGCCCCCCCACCGGCGCCAGCTGCGGGGCCAACGCGTCCCAGGGAGCTTTGGGGGAGGATCAGGAGTTTGATTTTTTTGGCCCCGAAGAGGAGGGGGACCCTTGGGCGCATGAGTTCAATGTTTAGAATGACTTGCAGCTCGTGCGCAGAGAGCTTCTGTCAGTGTTGGCGCGGACAGCGCGCGGACTGCAGCAGAGGAGAAATCTGCGCCGAATAGCGTGGGTTTGAGTTTCCAGGCGCGCGAGGTCCAACTCCTTAACCCTTCGGCGGCGCCAACGCCGTCGCCGGAAGTAGCTGGGCGCCGCGGAGCGCGCGCTTGCGCGGACGAGGATATTTTCCAATCGTAAAATGACTCCATCCCAGCAGGATGCCCCTGCCCTTGGCGGCTCGCCCATCGAAGCCCGCGTTTGAAATGCCCGCTGCGACGTGGACTGATTGTCGGCGGCAGGTGGGATTCAAGTCAGGATCTGCTGTGCTGGGCAGCCCTTCCCCCGCCCTGTCCTCTTCAGTAGCATTTAGGCTCGAGCCCCAAGCTGGCCAGCTCCTCGGAGGGCCGTGCGCGGCATGGGTGACAGCCGTGGAGAATGCTGTCCGTGCCCATCACGACACCAGGCCGTCCCTTTGACCATCTCGCGCAGAGGGGCCCAAGTTCGTCGAGGAACCCATGCGAGTCACAGCCCGCGTGCGAGAACTCGCCCTACGTGACCACCGTAGCCAGTGGTGGGCGCGCGCCCGCGCCATCCTCGCAGGCCCCGTTCGCCGCCCCAGTCGAGACAATGGATGCCGACAACTTCAGGAATGCGACGCAGCAGGCCGACCTCTACGGGCTTCGCGACCAGACGGGGTACATGTCTTCCTTCGTGCTGGACAGGAGGCGCCCCGGGAGCAGTGGCTATTGATATTTGCCCAACCCTCGCGCGTCAATG